CTCCCATCCCTGCGCGGCGATAGCATCGGGCATGCGCAAGTAGACGTGCGCGGACGACAGCTTGTCGACGTGGAACCAGATATCCTGCGGCCACGCGTACTTGATCAAATCCTCGTCTACGGGCCGATTGGTGCTGAGCGAGTGCGGCGGGGTGGGCAGTGCATACTCTCCACCTTGTCCTTGCCCATGTACAGCGTCACAGGCGGGTCGACCGCTGTTGAAGATGTAAGTAAGAAGTTGTAGTGAGTAGAAATGAAGGAGCGCGCCTGCTGAAGTGAAGAATAACACCATTCGGACGAGGAGGTTGTGGTACAAGGACAAGCCGCGGCTCTGACCGATTGCAGCCGTCTCTTGCTCTCGTGCACCGACGTAGGTCTCTGCATGAGCTCTACACCTGGAGAAAAGCCTCAGTGAAAGGGCCACAAGATTTCAACACAATTTCTGGCGGATCTTACGTTCCTTTCTGCCGCCTCCGACTCGGAGTGCGCCCTTTTTTCGACGTCGAGCGCCGCTACAATTCCAACCTTGCACTTCACCATCTGTGTCTTGCCTGGACCCATCATTTCGAGACAACTGTTACGTTGGAGTCAAGGGAGTGCGAGCGGTGGATTCTGGGGATGCGATCAACATGGCTAGTTTGTTCTTCTGCGTACCGGCCGCGAGACAGTGTTGACAGGCAGTAACCCGACGAGTGCTCAATACGTGCTTGTGGTGTTATGATGCACGTTAATCACTCCGCCACGTTGTCTTCTGACTGTTCTTCATGTTTGCTAGTGACAACTACTCGCTTCAACCGTGAGCTCAAAGCTCGAGCGTTTCGTAACTCTGCTATACCTCGGCTCTAATATCTTGAAGTAATTCCATCTCAAGCGCACTGTTAACTACTCCATCACGCTCTCTTCTGACTGTTCTTTGAGTTTGCTAGTGACAATTGGAGTTGTCAGTCTCATACCATAGCGGTCCGCGGAAGGGTGCGCCTCTTGGGACCAAGGGATCGCTTCACTCCGCGTCCCGGCTTTCGTTGACAATGTATTTCTTTGAGACTGTGAGCTATACCTTGAATTTTCCCTCTCTGCCCCTTGGACTTGTCGCCTGATGCCATGCCATGTCGGGGAAAACGACGTACCAGTGCGACCGACGTCGATCGCCTTCGCCCCGCATCCCGGCTTTGACAACTCACTGCTCAGCCGCAACGGTCTCATGGCACGCTTCCAGTGCTTTAAGCTTTGTTCATGGGAGATTGCGGCCTTTTGCTTACTCGCGTCTATGCTGGCACCAAACGGGTATCCTTCCAGAATCTACATGTCATCGGAGGTTGCTCGGCTCTCAGTGATTGTGTTAGCGGCTATGGGTTTATCATCACCTGTCAAGGAGCTCTCAGCGAGCTGCGCCCAACACATTGTCACATTTTCGTCCATCTATCGCTTCCGTGCTACAGCTCGGCCGCCGAATGCTCAATGCCGACTGACAGTTGCATACTGTACTACCCCTCAGTCACCAACACGTCCGTGACGGGCGTCGCCACCCTTAATCGAGTCCCGTTGTTAATAATAGAAAGAGGTGTGCAGGTACAAAAGGAGACGTCAGCACCGTGTTGTAGAAGGTAACGTCGAACCACTCTCAGTGACTCTGCTCAGACATGCAGATGAACCTCTTCGCCTCCGCTTTTGCTCTTCTCGTCGCTGTTGCAATTGCTGCTCCAGTGCCCGGGCCAATCTTGCCGCCTTGCCCACCTTGCAGGAATGTTGCTGGTGTCGTGGAATGTCCTATATGCCACGCGGGTTGAGTCCAAGTAAATTGGAGGCTTCGGAGGTGAGCTTCGTTACCTCGTCACAGCAGATAAAGACCTAATGTTAGACCATCCAGAGGAATGCAATATCGCGATGACGTTGGAAGAGGTCGCATATTGAGCATGTAGTTATGACCTATCTCCGTATGAAATCCAGGCATAAGCATCCCACGAGCCTCCAAGACGTAGAGAGGTCTGTGATGACACCAGATAACATGTCCCCCGTTGTTTGTATTGATGTGGCAAACTGAGAAAGGCGCTGGGACCCACTGTGTAACGCTCCGGCGCTGCGCTCGCTGTGGTACCGTGACAACGGCTTTCGGCCGTCGACAAGGCACACGCATTGCTTGAGCTTTTGAGTCAAATATATCGTCACACCCCGAAATTTAGTAGAATTAGATCATTGTTGTAAACGGACAGGGCTCATCGCTCGTGTCGCGACATGACCCGTTCTTCGCCTGACTCCTGAGCGGCGGTACCTTAGTCCCAGACGCACTATCAGACGGAGCCGCTATCTTATGAGCCGTGAGAACCGGGACCCGAGCCCCTATTAAACGTCAAGAGGCCTGGCCGTCCTACTTGTCACCGCTGACTCGCCCCGAATGACTTAAAGGACTGAGAATTGCCATATACAGTAGACATGGCAAGGGGCGTGCGTTCAGCTCTCAAGTCCGGAGGAGAAGAAGTTCTCTGAGCTGTTACGGAAAGCTGGGATGCGGAGCAAAGACAAACGGTCGGACCCAGAACGCGAGCGCCAGAGCCAGCCGGCAAATAGCGGCGCGGAAATTTTCGACTTGGCCTCTTCCCGACCTCACACATGGCGTCCTCGGCTACCTCGAGCATGCTCGCACACGTGGCTCTTGCCAAAAACTCATTGGCAGAGATAGACGAACGGCGTACGATTGTCCGCACTGCGCTCGACGCTGCACTCGCCAGTGCTGCGTCGTTCCGGGATGAGCTGAAGTCGCTCAACTCGCGGCATAGCGCACTCCTGGCTGATATATCTACTCAGAGATCTCTGCTTATGCGTCAGGGCATGTCATCGTTTCCAACCGAGCTTCTTCGCGCGGTTTTCCTCGAGTTGACGGACGGGCAGGAGAAGCAGTCCGTTGACGACGATCAGTGCGACGAATACGATCCTATTCGTGCCGCCACCCCTTTTCGTCTGTCCGCAGTGTGCGCTCGTTGGCGTCAGGTTGCGGTCGAGTTCCCAGAAATATGGACCTACGTTGGTGTCCCCGAGCTCGTTGATCTCGAGCCTCACTCGGCTCATGCTATCTATCGCTACGTGAAGACCGTGCTACAGAGATCACAGTCGCAAGGTTGCCAGGCGGCTGGCCAACCCCTGCGCATTGTACTCGATTGGCGTAGCGAAGACGTGTCGTGGGACGATTCCAGATATCACCAAAAGATCCTCGACCTCATTGGGCGCTACGCGTACAGATGGGGTCGCATTGACGCAGCGTTTCCGAAAGGATTGGATCCTTCCCACGCCCTTGCCTTTCGCCGTTCGACACCTATGCTACAGCGAGTGTGGATCACCCTACTCGGGGACGAGGTGAATTTTCCGTGGTCGGAATCTTTGCCGCCATACCTTCCCGAGTGCCCACAGATCCGATTCCTGGTGGCCGATTTTTTCTTCTTCCGACCGACAGCACCTCTGCCTTACATCACGACTTTGCACCTCGCAATCGACGGCGTCGCTTTGGGCGTTGTCTGGGATGTTCTGAGGCTAACGCCTCATTTACGGGCGCTTCACCTCACAATCGACGATCTACTAGACGACACTTCCACCACTCCCACTCCACCTATCGCACTAGCGATGTTAACGACGATTGCGGTGTATTCTGAAGCTGAACCCTTCTCTCGGGTAGTCGCAGGCATACACATTCCGAATGTAGCGACGCTGCATTGCGGCTCATCCTTCGATCTGCAGACGGAAGGGGTCCCTGATAACTTGACCGAAGTGCTCATTGACTATGCCACGGAGGACTGCCCAATGACTAGTGAGGCTCCAAGCAACATTCGCAGCATCGACAGCCTTCGTCGACTTTCCATTGCCCAATGCGAGCATATTCATGGCAGCTTCTTCCGTGCAGCCCGGTCTCCTGACGTATGCTGGAAAAATCTGTGCAGCGTTAGATTGGAGTCAACCACGTTGGATGACGACGCAGCGAGCGATTTCGCGGATTTCCTACGGACGCGTACCGCGCATGGAAGTTCTCCACCCCTCGAGGTGCACGTCAAAGACTGCGACATGCCAAAGTGGTTTGACGCGGAGATCTGGCATATTCTAGGCGACCGCTTCGTCCACGACACGGACTTGGACGACTCGAAGGCGTCAGAGTCGAGCGCATCTAGCGACGAGGATGTAGACGCCTGAGGCGCACGAGCGGTGTTCCGGATGGCGATGACAATATCTATCCCCAAGTATAGCCTACTTGCCGGTTGGCTCTGGCGCTCGCGTTCTGGGTCCGCATGTTCATATGTGAAGCTACACTTCAGCCGCCATGCTGTACTCCCCTACCGTACCTGATATCAAACCGTTAATTTCGCGTCACGCTGGCCTCTGAACTGAACTATTTTGCGGTATTATGAGTACAGTATACTGAAAGTTGCAAATCTCATTCTATTATACTCCGGGTGGGTATGCGGCTCGTTCATCCCGCACCAGCCCGACTGAGCCTATAATGGAAGGAGAACGGCAACCGTGACAGCACTGCCCATGAGCAAAGCTCAACGTACTGGAAGAGTGCCATGAGACCGTTGCGGCTGAGCAGTGAGTTGTCAAAGCCGGGATGCGGGGCGAAGGCGATCGACGTCGGTCGCACTGGCACGTCGCTTTCCCCGGCATGCCATAAAATCAGACGACAAGTCCAAGTGGCAGAGAGAAAATAGTCAAGGTATAGCTCACAGGCTCAAAGAAACACACTGCCAACGAAAGCCGGGACACGGACTGAAGCGATCCCTTGGTCCCAAGAGGCGCACCTTTCCGCGGACCGCTTTGGCATGAGACTGACAACTCCAATCGTGACTAGCAAACTCAAAGAACAGTCAGAAGACAACGTGATGGAGTAGTGAACAGTGCGCTTGAGATGGAATTACTTCAAGATATTAGAGCCGAGGTATAGCAGAGTTACGAAACGCTCGAGCTTTGAGCTCACGGTTGAAGCGAGTAGTTGTCACTAGCAAACATGAAGAACAGTCAGACGACAACGTGGCGGAGTGGTTAACGTGCATCCCTGCTAAGGATGTGTCCTTTGGACGCGCAGGTTCGAATCCTGCCGTTGTCGAATCTTTTGTCCGTTCCGCGTCTTCCTGGCTCTCGCCATCTTTTGCGCTGCCTTCCCTTTTGCCCTTGCGTCCTACTTCCCATATACCTATATTATATGCCGTATATGCGTATCACCGCTGGCCTTTGATATCGTTGAGTGCGCCTACGGCGCGCTCGCTGTGCGAGGAATTTTCGCCTGGCGGAGTTATAGCGATCTTGACTTTTCTTCCATGGACCATGATCTCGTTCAACTCGCAAAGGCTCGCCTGGACGGCGACGCCACCGCCTTACGTGCCCAAGAAGCCGCCGTTGTCGCTTTGCGGCGAAGCGTCGTCGAGGCCGCAGATGCGGTCGAGAGTGCCCGCTTGCGAGAGAATGCCCTACGCATCGAACTCGGTGTGGCCGAAATGCGTTATTGGGCACTGCGAGTCGATGTAGACAGCCAGAAATCAGCCCGTGTTCGCCAATTGTTGGCTGTATTCCCCGTCGAGCTTCTGAGGTCAATTTTCTTGCTGTGCACCTCGCAGCCTGACGACTATTGGCCGGAGCTGGACCCGTGGCCGACGCTACCAGCAATCGCGCTATATAACAAGTCTCGTGTTGCAACGCCGTTACGGCTTGCAACTGTCTGCAGACGGTGGCGCGCCGTGGCTCTAGACGCGCCTGACATGTGGTGCTACATCGGCCTCCCAGCTCTCCAAGACGCAACGACGGCGCACGCAGCAGCCCTTCACGCACGCGTCCTGGCCTTTCTGGATCGATCGAAACGGCGGCCCTTGCATATCCTGCTCAGCTGGGCAGACGGAACCGCGATATGGACCGCCTCTGTCTACTACGCCAAGATTCTGGCGTCCCTCGAGGGACATTGCGCTCGTTGGGAACGGGTTCGTATGGCGCTCCCCAGTGGGGCTCCTCAAACCGCCTACGACATCTTCAGAAACCCGACTCCCATGCTTGTGGAGTTCGATTTCTTGGACCCGTTCGACGTCGCACGCGGGCACTTCTACCCTACACCATATCCGACATACCTTCCCATCTGTCCACGCATACTCTCATTTACCACTCACACAATGTTTGTGGTACCAATGCGCCCACTTTCTAGTCTTTTAGTACTTTGTGCGACGACGAGCACCGTTCCTCTCCAAGCACTGTGGGATGCACTCAAGATGATGCCGTCTTTGGAAGTCCTCGACATCAAGTTTGAAGACCTCGTGGCCGAGGACCTTCCCCCAACAGTGACAATACCCTTGACACATCTCACGCGGCTGGCCATTTCCGGCGACCTCGAGCAGTTCTCTTTGTGGCTTCCTTTCCTTGACATGCCATCCGTCGACGAGCTTCGGATCTTCGCGGATTCGATTCCCGTCATCGTAAACGCTCTCGACGCCCTCGCGGATCGTATCACCAGAATATCTATCCGCGATGACTCGGATTCTGACGTTTACCACCTCATGGACGAGGACATTATATCTCCAGCGGCTCGATCGCTTGCAGTCAATCACGTTGTTTTCATGCTTGTTTATCGACGCTTCGTTCTTTAGTGGCCTGAAAACGAGAGGAGGCGACATCTAGCCCAATCTCTCGCTCCTCCAGTTGGACTTCGTTACCTTGGGGCCCGGTAGCGCGGAGGCCCTCGCGTCTCTTCTCCTGGCAACTGCGCTACCTCCGGATGTTACTGATATCTCCACCGCGGAATCTCCCCGATGCCGCCTCAAAGTCAAGGCGATCGACTGTGACATGCCATCTTGGCTCGAGAAACAGATCAATTTTGCTGCAGCTACGATGGACGGACGAGCGTACGATCCAGTAATCCCGAGTCCGGACGAGTCTGCCTCTCCGGAGAGTGAGGAGGAGGAGGCACAGTTTACCGATGGCTCTGGAGAGGATTACACGAGCGACGGCGAGTGGTCTGAGAGTAGTAATGACGACGACGAGTTGAATCTCGACGGTTAATACCCAGGCGAGTATCAGTTCTGACGCGGGAAGCTTCAATCAATCAGTCGATCGTATTCTGCGCAGGCTCTACCAAACCCTTCTCACATACGCATGTGTTGCGAGCCGATCTTTTTTCCAATGATACTCCTTCACATCCACGCGAACTTGAAGCGCTGCAGGCGCAGGCGCTGAGGACGATCGGCGCTGGATCCGTTCCTCTCCCCTCTTCAGTCACATGAGAATCGAGATGAGCAGAACCGGCAGCGAACTACAGCTTGCAAACGTTATGTAACTTACACACTCCTGGCCACCGCTCGTCCGGAAGCATCTGGGCGGCCAGCGGTTAGATACGGCGGACTTGCAGATCCAGATTAGCCCTTGACCTGCACCCACAACCATCGCACCATGTCTTCGCTTCTCGACGCGTTCAACGAGGCAGACTTGCACTTTCACGAGATACCCATCATGTGCGCAAAGTGTATAGCGAGCCAAGGATGGACTCATCTCTGACTCGGACAGCGATCTCGAGCACGCGGCAAGCCCTGATCCTGGTAAACGGCGCGAGGTCGCAGCAGCTATACGTGACGCTTCGCTGCGTGTTGGGTTCTTCTATGGTCTGTCTACTCGTTCGTCGGCAACGGTTCATGGTGTGACTCGTGGCCGTAGTGAAGAACCACGGTATCCCGCAGAGCAGCATCGACGGCGCTATCGAGGCCGCTAAACGCTACTTCGACCAACCCCTAGACGCGAAGATGTCGGTATGTCGTGCTTTAAGTTCAATTGCAAAGCAAGCTCTTTGCTCAGCGCGCACTGTAGATGGATATCCGCAAAAGCAGCAACTTCAAAGGCTACACCGCCCTTCTCGCCGAGAATACGGATCCGGCCAATGCGGGCGATATGCACGAAGGCTTCGAGATTGGGTACGAGGAGAAGGAGGCTACTGGTGAAGAAGACGCGCGAGACGACGGCGCGATGACTGGCAAGAATGTCTGGCCAAGCGAAGCGGAAGTGCCAGGGTTCCGCAAAGCCGTACTCGAATACTAGTGAGTACTCGACCATTTGACTGTTAGTTGGTATTTTGAAGAGGCGTAGTCATGCCGCCGTGAAGTTGGGCCTGTCAATGTTCCCGTTGTTCGCGCTCGCGTTGGATCTCCCCGAGGACTTCTTCACCGACAAGGTCTGCCAGTTCTTCATGCTGCATGCTTACCCTGTCTTACGCTTATATGAAGACACTGCATCCGGCTGCGGTGATGCGCTTGCTGCACTACCCGCCTCAGACGGGCGAGATCGACGAGCGCGTTATCGGCATTGGCGCCCATACTGAGTGCGCATCTCCCTCTAACCATACATTGTGTAGTAACTTATTCTCTGCATAGCTATGAGGTCAGCAGCATATGCCGGGTGGCTGGCACTGAGCGCCGATTCTGAGATTTCCCTTTCAGTGCTTCACGATCTTGTGGCAAGACGATGTCCCTGCGCTCCAGGTCCTCAACCAAGACGGGAAGTGGGTGCATGCGAAGCCCACTCCTGGCACTCTTGTTGTCAAGTACGTCAGGGTCTGTCATGTTGTATCTGTTCTGACTCCGTGCAAAGCCTCGGCGACCAGTTTGCGCGGTGGACTAGTAAGTCTCGGGCATTCAGTAGTCCATGGCATCGACTCAGTTGTGTTTTAGATGATGTCTTCAAATCGACAGTCCATCGTGCTATCAATCGTACCGGTGTGCGACGATACAGCATTCCACTATTCTTCGGCACAGACTACCATGTCCCACTTGAGGTTTGTTCTCGCCCTTTACCTGCACACTAACTAATTATGAATACCGCAGGCCCTTCCCAACTGTGTGTCGGAGGAACGGCCTGCAAAGTACGAAGTAGTAACTGCGGGTGACTTCCTCAAGTCGCGTCTTGCGGCCACATATCACGCAAATTGAGATGAAGGTCCCCTTTGGAGGAATATCTTGTATGAATAGTGGTCGTGTACCGTGTCGTTGTTTATCTAGAGGGCTGCTGCGGTGGCGGATCTTCACGGATCGGGAGTCGGAGAGCGGTTTCGCGCAACTCTTCTTCCGCTCCTGTCAATCATGCTCAAGCTCTCCGGTGGCGATCTACCGGCGGACGAGGACCCATATTCGTCCGAGAACAGCTCTGGGAGCGAGTCCGACGACGACCAGGACTGGGCGGACTGGCAGAGCGACGGCGGCGAGGGTGCAGGCTGCACCTCGCTGTTCGACTCTGAAGAGCTGCCGTCGGCGACCGACTGTGTGGCATACGACTCAAAGAAGCACGGTTTCGACCTCGTGCAGACATCGGAGAGACTCGGTGCGCGCTATAGTCCCAGATTTCCGCGTGGTTCTGATTATGCGCATTCTGCATTCTGCTATAAAGGGCTCGACTTTCACCAGCGCGCGCGCCTGGTAAACTATATCAGGAAACAAGTCAGCACCCGCGTCCTATAGGGTCCCAACACTGTCTGATCCCAACATGCAGCGGCCACAACCTGCAGAGCTCCAGAACCTGTCGGGCACCGAGCCGTTCTTCAGCGACGACCTCTTCCTCGTTCCCGTCATCCAGAGCGATCCGTTATTGCGTGAGTCGCAGCATATTGCTCAGCTAGTTGCTAACCATGTTGCAGAACTGCCCTCGGACGACTGGTCTGACGACGAAGACGATGCGGGCGTACCAGGCTCCAGCCAGGATATGCGGGTAGCACAGCGACAAATCAAGCATCTGCAAGAAAAGCTGCAACGCGCAAAGCAGGACCTCGTCGACTACAAGAAGCTCGTACAGGCCAAGATGGACTTTACGCGTGTCTTTGCGGACGAGGACGACGACGACGCGCCAGGACCGTCGAAGCCGCGCGACGACGACACGCATTACTTCGAGAGTTACGCAGAGAACGGTAGGCACACATTTACTCCTGAAGCTTCTGCTTGCTGACCACGCTTCCAGACATTCACGCCGTCATGATCAACGACAAAGTACGCACGTCGACGTACGCATCCTTCATCATGCGAAACCCAGCCCTGTTCCGTGACGCTGTGGTGCTCGACGTGGGGTGTGGCACCGGCATCCTCTCGCTCTTCG